ACAATTTTGCACTGACAACTTTCCTTGTATTTATATAAAATTTCTGTCTAATTTACTTTATATTTCATTAAATGATCCATCATTTGGAGTTGTCTTGGGGGAGCCAATCAAAATAACCATCTGAAATTCTCATTAATGTTAGACTTCACATTAGATTACCATTTGTCTAGATATGTTAGAAGAACACAGATAATATCATAGGAGGTTGAAATGCACATAGCAACAAATAAGTACAGTAGCAATCAACATGTTAAACTATTTTATAAGCCAGTAAGAATAACTTAATATTTTTTTTTAAACAAAAGCAATAATTTGATAGAAATTTGTTTAAAAATGTTTTTATATTTTTTATTTTTTTTTTACACTAAATTCTGTGTATCCAAACAACATATTCAGAAAGCTCCATATTGAGGATAAGATATACTCAAAATTACCCACAGAAGGCTGCTGCCAAACAGTCAGTTTGATTTACTGATTTATTGAGCCAGATGATGTCATCACATACAATTCTTGTTACATTGAGCAGAAGGTGCAAATTATTTTACACAAAATATAAATAATTCCTTTTGGGACCTAATATCATTCATTGAAAAAGATTAGATCAATGCATTAAGGCCAAATGAATTAAAACATGCTCTTCAACAATGAAAGAGATGCAAGATGTGGTTTCCAAGAGATGCAAATGTTTTGCATGTTTCTGCGGGGGACCTTGCAAATGCAAATGAGAAACACCCAGGACTCAGGGGCTTCATGCCCACTCCTTCTGTAGAGTAGCCTTATCCATAATAAACCAGATTTCATTGTTCTTTACAGACTAAGGGATGAGTTTCACCGTATGTGAAAGAGATCACTGTAGCAACAGGAGTCCCTATTTGAGTCCAGAGGTTGAAGTCTGTTCATATCAATGCTTCTCTGCAAACCTTCCACTGAAAGTTAAAATCTGTGGAATTTATGTAAACAATTACTGATAGCGTTTGCAATCCAGAAAAATAGTGCAAAATTGGGTATATATTTGCCTGAAATTGTATAACAAAGCATTTAAATCACAAAACGACAACACAAAGAAGCATGTCACGAGCTCTGAGAGGTTGTAATTGGGTCTGGTCCAAAGTCCTAAAAGATCATTAATTTGGGGCCCCTCTTAAAGCTACAGTGTGTAATAATTACAGGGATATACAGTCAGAAATGTAATATATTATACATAAATATGTTATTTATCAACATCTACGAGCTCAGCCTCTTAACCTTAATACTTGCATTGCCTTAGAATTCGTTATTTATAATTACATAGGAGCGGGTCTCGCAGCCATGGAGGCAGACATCTTTGCGCTACGGCAGCGCAGAGCCAACAAACTAGCGATTGCGAGATCGCCCATTACGCTCGAAAGTAACTACGGCAAGTTGAGAGAGATGAACTGAGACGGTACTGAAATCTATACCCTACACAGATTATCTATGTAAACAAACCTCATCACTTGAGAAGGTAGGGGATGCGGACGTCGTGGAAGACATTTTGTCCCGTAACGCTCGCCGTACTGTTGGGGGGGAGAAGCGGTGGGGGGAGATGTTCATGTTGCTGCGGTCTGCAGTCTGGACGTTAGATGTCGCTGAAAATTACACACTGTAGCTTTAAGGGCATCACCAGTAGCAGCAGAATTTAAGCCCAAATCTGATGGAGACACAAACAGGTTTAATTACGTGAGCCTTAAAGCAATCACACATAAGTGGTTATCTAGAAGCTAGACTTTGAGAGCATCTCCAGTCCTCCTACATTACATTAACGCACAGTCTACAGTATATGGATATATACTACACACTGTATATAGTATATGGTGTTTTTTATATTATGTATAGCTACAGATTATGTATTCTGTATATATATCTAATTTGTCTTCACCATCAACACCAAGTAAAATTCCTTGTAAGAGCAAACCTACTTGGCAATAAATCTGATTCTAATTCTGATCTATATATATTAGAAGAACATATAGGCTGTCGTGTTTGAAATTTAATATTTTTGAGCAAAAAAATCTTAAAAATGAACAAAAGACTGTATTAATAGCATTAGATTGTAACTATATTGATAAAACAATTATCCATGTCTATTGCCACTTGTCCTAAAAGGACTGATAGGGAACCGAGGAACCAAGGTAAAGCCTTTAGAGCATGCCAGTCCATCATACTGTAGATACAGTATTACAATCATACAATGAGGATTATTCTTTTTCTAAAATCCCAAATTTTTTTCAAATATTTATACTAAAACAGACGACTTTATTTTAAAATAAAGAGCTAAAAACTTGGATCAGCATGGAACACTAGCACTACTGCTCTTTCCTGCTCATGGTCACTGCTTGGATAACGGGTATGGGTTGCATGTAGCTTTAGTGGAAGCAGTAGATCATTTTTATAATGTTAATGTTATAATCTTAATTAGCTAATTCCCAGTAGAATCAAACAAGCTTAGAATTAATTTCCACTGATTTTTGAAGTGTCCATCTTTGAAAGTCAAACTTTTTCTTTCTGCAAATCGAATAATGGCTTTCTTAAATCAGTTGATTGTAAAAAAAGCATCATTCATGAAATAGTAATTGCACCAAGGGGCCCTCAAGGACCGTAATGTTTATGATAAAATAAAGCAAAACAAAATCTTCTAGGAATAAAGATGAAGATAAAAAAATACAAATGCTGTCACATAATGCAAAAACATAAATGGATAAATATATAAAAGCTTTAACACAGTTATAATCTTGAAACTTGAAAAACCCTTGCTTTGACTTGTTTATGATTAACCTAAAAAACTCAAGTTGGAAAATTATATGATTAGAATCAAATTTGATAATTACTAAAAATCTGAAACAAATAATGAAGCCTACAAAAAGAGTTATACATTATACATACATACATGTATGTCTTAAAAAAAATTTTAGATTATAATTTCTGGTCATAAATCCTCCCTCTTTGTTCTGTACCCTACCTAGTCCTGCTGTGCCATTAAGAGTGAGCAGATGCACCTGCCACTCTCCTAAATACCTTCATTCCTCCCTGCAGTCACTCAGCCTATTTACACCTGACTCTCTCAGTTATTTCTCGCCAGAATGTCACCTCCATGTGTGCACTGCCAGCCTTCCTACCTTACTGTATTCGATCTGTGCTTACTTCTCATCATGCTCTGGTCCCTTTCTGGATTGTTTCTACCTTCATCTAGTCTACTCAAAGCCTGCCACTTGGTTTGGTAATTTTGAATCTTTAGGTTTGCAATCAGCCCATTCAGCATGTCTTCAGTGGGTTCTGCATTCATCTGATTCCTCAAGCCTGCTGCCTGTCTGTCTGCCCATAATACCAACTGTTTCAATAAACATTTTTGCCTACATTTATTTATTTGTATTATTTTTGTGCATTTAATTGTGTGGTGATTTATTTAGCTTTTTCCGCTGTGTTTGTTTTTAATGGTATCAGAGTTGATTGTCCATACCTGGTGAAAGGTTAAAGTGCTCAATCCAATTTTTTATTTACTTAATTATTTCTTTTTCTAAAAAAAAAAAGTTAGTATAATGATCTCATTTATGAAAAAAAAAAAATGCATGGAATCTATACCAAAAAAGTATGTACACCAAACACCCAAAAACGGAGTATGCCAAAGAAACGTGATTTATAAAACCATGTATAAATAAATCTTTTAACCAATGTGTTAAGTTTGATAAATATATACTGGTTAGCCACAGTAAATAAAAGGAGCTATTATCAATGGTGCCTTTAGAGTATGATGACCAGGACATCCAGGCAGGATTGTGCTTAATGCTGACTGAAACATCCCAGATTTATAGATAAATTCATAAAATTATTAACTTCCTAAAAGCGGCTTTAGGCAGAGAGTCAATTAATTTTTGGTTAAGCTGAACACCAATTTGTGCTGGTAAAAGCACACAGGAACCACAGAGGGGTTTGCAACTGCAATTTCAACCTGAAAGACTCACACAGAAGCACAATTAGAGAGCCTAATTCAAATTAGATATAGAGAATTATGTTTTAATTGAGCAGATGTGTTAGGACAGATCACAACACTTGCATGGACGTTGGCATCAGCAAATTAACAGGCCCATTTTTGTGCATAGAGAAATTTTATACATGAGACCCCTGGACTAAAAAAACATCCAGGACTCATCCATAATGGGTAAAATCGGTTTCTGCCTTTAAGCGGCGTTGTGAAGTTGTGGAGTTTGTGCAGATCACTATTTTTTTTTTCTTGTTTTAATTTGACTCCCCAAGTTAAGTGTGACTTGTAGTGATTATAGAGAATTCAATAGAAAATATAGTTTAGTTATAAATATGAAATGGAACATCATTTGGGAGTTAATGCATACTTTTTCACATGCACTTCTAGGCAGGTCAAGACAATTTTGTATAGGATGCTTCAGTACATGGACAATTCAAAGTGCTTTACATGAATTAAATAATACAATATAGGAAAAATTAAAAGCAGAATAAAAGCAAAAACACATTTGTAAAACAAATGAAACAATTGGACCACAATTGGGTCCCTGGGGTCAAGACCCTTAACTCCACTCACTCTCTGGGTTAAAAGCAGAGAGTGAATTTCCCCATTGCGGGACAATAAATGGATTTACACATCATTGTTAGATTATTTTTTGCCTTTAATTTTGTTTTTGGGGTGGGGGGGTGCTCATAACTTTCCTACAAATTACTTCCTTGCCTTTTTGATTTCTATTAAACATATATTTTGCATTTTATCGCAGAACTCTGTGTAGAACGTTAGATTTTTGTTTCTTTTGTTATTTCATCTAGGGATCAATTATTGTTAAACATCTTCTAGGCTCCTCAGAAGGCTCCTCTTCCCTCATATCATGCTATATTGAACTACATTTCTGTACTTTTTTTTTATTCATGCTCCATTTTTGTTGCAACAATGCTAAGGACACTAGGACCCAGTGGAGGCAGCATCTCCGGCTCTGTTTCTCAGAGCCTCCTGCTCTATCTCTGTGGTCACTGTGTGTGAGAGGTGGGGGGAAATCAGAGAGTGGAGGAGAGAGAGGGAGCTGGTGTCTTCTCTGTGAGCATTTAACATCAGCTACGTTTCAGAAGAATCCCTGCCACCACAGCCTTGCAGTCATCCAGAGAGCAGGATGCTCAAGGCAGATGAAGGGATGGGAAGAGAGACTGCTCTACACGAAGGGAAGTGCCTCAGCAGCATTCACAAGGTACAGTGTTTGAATTCCAGCATGAAGCTCAGCCATGGGAGCAAAGTCATTTCCATCCTCAAAGACAGAGGCAGCAGCAGCAGCAGCAGCAGCAGGCAGCTGCATCAGGGAAATATTCTGGTTCAGGTACACAGTGCTCTCTTTCCTGCTCCGTTCTTATTGCTGTCTCTGATTTTTTCAAGTATTCTCCCCCATGCTTCCTCCCTTTCCATCCTACCAGCTAATTAGACTAAACAGTTATTCATTCATTAAGCAACCTTTGATATTAAAATATATTTAAATAAGACAGCCCCTAATTCATTATACTCTATTTCTAACATTACTGATTACCATAGAAATAAGTAACCGGTGAGACCAGCCACATCAGGTAAGAGGGCTCAGCTGAACTGGGAGTAGCTCTGTGTGTGATATACAGATGATGCTCTGGGAGGACAGTGAATCAGAGCTTATAGCACAGGTTAGGGCTGGTTCCTTCACCCAGATTTGTTGTGCTGTGCAGAAAGGACCCCCAGAATCGCAGTATTTAGCTACATCCTAAACAGAGAGGATGTAAATCAGGAGAGTAGCAGTCAACCATGTATGTTTGCTGTCTGTGCAAACATCCTCTGCAAGCTTTACACTGAACATGGTCACATTAAGTGTCCACAGTGGCCAACATCCTATTCTGATCACATTAGGAGAATCATCAGTACATTCATACCTAGAAGCTTCTCGAGTATTTTTAATTACTTACTGTGTTATATTGAAAGTGGTCATTTATGTGAGTTTTATGTTATACAACCAGAAAAGGAGTAGATATGAAGGAAGGAGGCTATTGACTGTTTGGTTGCAGGATTAGCTTGCAATCATCCATTGACAGGATTTATGCTTGAAAAACTGTATACATCTCCACGTTCTGCTTGACCAACTTGGATTTATCCATTTTTCCCCCCGATAAAGTTTTCCATTTGGTTTTAAATTCAATGTCAAGAAGATTAGCACCAAAATGTTTGCAGTGGTTTATAGATATTCCTGCTGAGAACTAATTTTCTTTCTTTCTTTTTTTTTTTTTAGAAACCAGGCCTTGCACAACTATACATCTTTCTTAAACTTTTCACATTTTTGAATTTATAATCTCAAACTATAGTTTGTTTAATTCGTATTTTATGTAAGTTTTGTGAAATGGAAAAAAAATTACCTTTTCTTTTCCAAATTAAAAATATATACAAATACATTTGTCATGGATATTTACTCCATATATGCCCATTTACTCTGACACTAACACTAACTAAAGTCACAGAATTAATAAATAGACTTAATGTGATTTTGGTTTTTTTAGTATAAAGTCATGTGTTCTGAAAAGGCCTCAGAAGTTTGTTACAGAACATAACCAGACAGGTCAGATATAGAGCTGTGGGATGGTTTATACTTACCACCTCATATGGAACTGTTAAATTCTTAATCTAAAAACATAAATGTCTGATACAACTTCAAACCTATCAAGACTTGACTGTCAACCTAGACTGACAGGCTGGAAAGGGGGAGCCTGAAAGCCCTATGGAGGATTGGGAGATAGATCCACAACTCTGGAATTAAACTGTCTTAACAGGGGGATGATGACATGTATATTTCCCTGAAAAAAGGCCTTATTGTAAGACTTATTGGAAGACTGCAAGATCTGTAAAGTTTTGAAAGGAAGCAGTACGAAGTCCTCTATGCAGTTTAAATCAGGCCTTTAGAGGAACAGGATGTTTAGATGAAAAATTTGATCAGGCGAGACAACAACTAAACAGTTCTGCCATTATGCAAAACTCGCGCTCAACAAACCATCCCCAACATGAAATATAATGGTGGCAGCAACATGTTGGAGGGATTGAAAATTTCATTGCCATTTTAGTTTGAAATCGTTTTTAGTATTTCTTATTATAGTTTAGTTTTTATTTTTTGAAAACGTTTAGTTTCAGTTTTGTTTTTATTAAAAGTTATAGTCTTAGTCTTTTATGCAAAACAGAAAAGTCAGCTGCATATGGCTTCAACATAAACTACCTGTAAAGGACTTCTGTAATCAAAGTGGATTTATACCGTTTTTGCTCTTTATTTTACTGTGTAACGGAATTCAACATTGATTTTAATATTTCTTTTTCACTATTAAGATTTCGTTTTCAAAAATATTGTAATAATTTCTTATGCTTAAAATGTATGGTTTAGGATTCTAGAGTTTACCAATTCACAGCTTTTCATCCCTAATAGAGCGGATTTGTTCAGCACCTTGCATCTATGTGATTGTTTTAGCTCTTTTCTGGTTTGTTTTTAATGTCTGTTTAGTTGCTTTTAATCTCTGCAAAAGTGGAATAAACTTCTATTAACTGAGCTACTGAGTACATAGAAAAATGTGCATTCAAGTTGAGACTCAGCCATTCTCTTGTGTTCTTCCATTCTAATTTTAGTGCGGCATGTGACTGATGGGCAGCTAGAAAGTTTCAGAACCTTCCAACGATCCCTGCATCATCCTCTGGACCTACAATATAACATCTGCTCTAATTTTCAAACCTCTGGTTTTCTGACCACACTCCCTGGCCTTAAAGGATGGGTGATGGGCCTGTAACTGACCGCACCCACCTGCCCCATCCTACCCTTCAATGGAGCCGACGTCGAACTCCTCCCACACGTCTCCACAGCCAACATCCAACCTGTCTGCCTCATCTCTGCCTGAAGGCTGGGCCTTGTCCCAGGCACTAGCCCTGCTAGCAATGCTGCTAATGGATCTGCTGGCTGTGGTGGGCAATGTGGCTGTCATGGCTGTGATTGCCAAGGCCCCACAGCTCCACAAGTTTGCCTTTGTCTTCCACCTGTGCATGGTGGACCTCATGGCAGCTCTGGTGCTGATGCCCCTCGGCATGCTGTCGAGCCGGGCCTTCTTTGGGGAGGCTCTTTGCCGGAGCTACGTCTTTCTTAGTGTGTGCCTAGTCAGCGCTGCCATTCTCTCCATCTCCGTCATTAACGTGGAGCGATACTACTACATCATACATCCCCTGCGTTATGAAGTGAAGATGACTGTTGGTCTGGTGGCTTCAGTATTGGTGGGGATATGGGTCAAAGCTCTGGCCATGTCTGCTCTGCCGCTGCTTGCTTGGTTCCTGCAAGGTGGAAGGACTCCTCTTTTGGAAAGTGGCGGGGTTGGGGGAGGTGGTGGAGGGGCCATTCCACCTCCCCCTGCGGCTCAGGGTCATAGGCGCTGCTCCCTTCACTGGACTGGAGGAGGGTCAAACCGCCTAGCCTTCATGGTCCTGTTCACTCTGGTGTATTTCCTCTGTCCGCTGTTGGTTATTCTGGTTGTTTACTGCAACATGTTCAAAGTTGCTCGGGTGGCAGCCATGCACCATGGTCCGCTTCCCACTTGGATGGACACGCCACGACGGCAGCGGTCAGAGTCGCTCAGCAGCAGGTCTACAATGGTCACCAGCTCTGGGACAGGCACTGGCACGGACAGAACGACTCCACATCGACCCTTTGGGGGAGGAAAAGCTGCGGCTGTTTTGGCAGCTGTAGGTGGACAGTTCCTCTGCTGCTGGTTGCCCTACTTCACTTTCCACCTGTACTCAGCACTAGCTGCCAGTCCACCCGCTGCGCTAGCCTCTCTGGAGGAGGTGGTGACCTGGATCGGCTACTTCTGCTTCACTTCCAACCCCTTCTTCTACGGCTGCCTGAACAGACAAATCCGTGATGAGCTAGGCAAGCATCTGCCTTGCCTCTTTCGCAGAACAGGCGTCGAAATGGAGGACAGACTGCCAAGCCGTGACGGTTCCATAGAGGAGAATTTTCTTCAGTTTCTTCAGGGCACTGCCTGTAACCTGGATCCTCAAAACTCTCAAAGCACTTCAAGTCCTAAAGTGGGAGAGGCCTGTTGCCCTGTTGCTCAGTGCCAATCAACTGAGATAGCACAACCCATTCCCATTGATTTTCGCATCCCTGGACAGATTGCAGAGGACACTTCAGAGTTTATTGAGATTGAACAGGCAAAAAACAACCACATATTTACAGACAATTAAATCTTTGTTGCTGTCGATCAAAATTGCAGATATGAAAGTTCTTTCAGGAAATTCTCCCTTTTCTACTTTTGTTTAAGATGGATGTTAGTTTGACCCTGCAGGTTTTAACCATGTTTTTTCAGCTTATAGTGACGAGTTGATGGTGCCTTGCAAAACTATATATACCTATTTAACTTTTGGACATTTCCTTGCGTTACAACTACAATATTTATACATAATTTATCACAATAACCCTAGAAAATAGCTTGTGGAGTGGAGGGAAAAGGGTATAAATTGATTTAAGTTTCTGTCCTTCTTTTCTCTGCCTAAAATAACCTAATTACATTTAAAAAAAAAAACAAGTTTACCCCCAGAGTTAAATTAGATTTTTTTTTCTTTATAAATCCAACTGTTCTGAGAAGGTCTGTTGGAGAATAAACATCATCATGAGAACAAATAAACACAGCAGATATATCAGGGAGCCAGTGGTGAAGAAGTTTAAGGCAGAGTTAAGTTTACCTGAAGAACGATTCAATCAACCATCCACAAATGGAAAGAGCAAGAGTAGGAAACTGGAACCAGTGGTTGCAGAGCCCTGGTTTAAACCGACAGGTGGAGGGAATAGAACCCGGTACCTCTTGAAAGGGTACAGTAATGCAAAGGTGGGGTCGGAGGATGTGCTGACATGGAAACTCTTTGTTGTTCAATTAAAAAAACATATAAAATCCATGGCAGAGGTGAAAAGAAAGCCAGTAGAGATAATTCATGTTTACCACAAGCTGTGTGAAGAAGATGTTCTAGTCAATTCAAAATATCACTTTTTTTGGCTAATATGCATCAGCAATGTACACAGAACAATTAACATTTCTCTCACTCTCTAACATTTCTCCTTAGCTGGGTCAGCTGCAAACAACTTGAGTCCGAGATTTGGCTTTTAGCAGGCGCACAATAAAAAATGTTCAGTCAGAGCTAAAAAAGGGGTTTTGATCAGTGGTTCCCATACTTCATTCTACACCCTTCCAAATATTATATCCTGGCCTGAGAGTCCCACTTGTAAATTTACAGACAATGCCACGAAATATGTATAGAAAAGTTTACTTTAAATTTTTGTTTTTATTATCTTTATTCCCTATTAACTTATAATGATTTTCGTTTAGCATATATAATATTATCTATTTGTACAAATCTGTATTATATTCCAAGTGAATGAACTTGTTGATGAGAACAGAACAAAAGCAATCAAACCTTTCTAAGTGTGTGTGTGTGGGAGGCCTGGGCTTCATCTATTTCATATGCATATCGCTTTCCAAATGTAAACATGCCCTATGTTTTGTTTTGAGTACTTTAAAGTTTAAAAGCCAGATTCAGACAAGTAGCTGTTAAAAAGGGAAAAAGGCATTTCAGTGCCCTATCTGCCTTAGTGGGATTGTCCTTCATGGTATAGTTAGACCAAGGAAACTTGATCAAAAAACACATAGTTTTTATAGGTTAATTTGATATATATATGGTCTACAATATTTTTATAATAATGATTTAAAACATATTCTTCATAATAATGAAAATGTATATTTAGTTTTGGCACTTTTGTTTATTTTTCTGCAATTTCCTAAGGCAGACCCTATTGCTCACTCCTGGGGGGTCGTCCCCAGCTAACCTCAGCAGGGCAACAGGGATCTAAACCACTTTAAAAGCCACTGGTTTAGATCATAGCATATTAAACCTTAGTCAAAGACCAGAACTATTCAATAGAGGCCTAAAACTGGACACACAAAACTACATGTCGTACTTGGAGTTGTGTTTTAGTTTTTTTACCTAAATGAGCTGAATAAAAAGTGGGTCAGAAACATGTATTGTTTCCCTTCCACTTCACATGATGCATTGTTTTTGCTGTTCTGTCACATAAAAGTCCCTTGATCATATTGTTGTTACCCGGCAGAATGTGAAACGTTTTTAAGACGTCGTGAGGTGTTCCGCTTTCAACTGCTCCATGTCAAAATTCCTTATCCAGTAAGTTTTAAAAAATAAATCGGCGTTTTGTCATTTAATCACTCAGCTTAGTATAAATAAAAAACATCACAACAAAAAGAATAAATAAATGCAGTTTTTAATTGAGACAGCTTATTAGTGAATTTACTCATGATGGAGGCTTCCAAATAAGATTTGAATCGTTTAATTAGGATTTTTTAGAGAACAGTTTTGTCATTTCATTATTGTCAGTTAATTATGTTGCTTAATTCAATATTCAGTCCATCAAGTTTTGTAAAAATAATGAACAAACCAACCTCCAAATAAACACATTTTAAAGTCTACTTAGGTACTCCTTAACATAAAAGCTTTCTTTCTAATTGTGCAAATAAAAAAAAGAACAGCAATAAAACATTAAATCTATGACAGACCATTCAGCTTTCATCCATTAAGTGACAACATCAGTCCTTTAAGCCATGATGGTCTCATTTTAAACATAAGTAGCACAGATATTACAGTATTATTTTAAAAATAGGCTCTCAGAAAGCTGGTGAGAATTAAAGTGACTCATTTTAGATTAAAAGATAACTTACCTTCAGGGTTATTAAACTCTCTGCCATATGGTGTATTTTCTGGGAAAGGACTTTCTAATACCATCTGGAGAAACTACATCACATTCAAAAAGTGTTCTGTTTCCTGCATTGTTTAATGTGATATACTGCGTTTTGTTTTTGTATGACTGTAGCTTTAAGTTGTTTATGACACTCAGTGAGTGCAATTTTTCTATATTGTGAATCTCAGCTATCCTGATGAGCAGGATGATTTAGTTTGTTTTTGTTTGGACATGTAAACAGAACTTGTTTCTATGTTATTACCTGTGGTCATTCTTATCAGAGTGAAAAATATGTGCTCCTTTGACTGCAGGGCGCTCATGGTACCTCTCCAAGAAAAGAGCATTTGGATGTTTACTGTGGTCTGTCAGGTGTTATTTCTGCACACTACTGCTTTTTAAAAGTTTTATTAGGACTATGGCTTTCAGTCTATAAGTTTCTCAACCTGTGTTGAACTGGAATTAAGGATGTATTTGACCAAACATATGTGGATGTGACTGATCATCTTTCTTACACACATGCTGTGGAAACAGGGTTTATATAGTACCTTCTTAAGGGGTATTTTTAGAAACATAGGCAGTCAAAATCCCAAAACTTGTTAAGCTTGATGCTTTGTTTTCACCATGCCTAAAGCATACCCCAAACTGTGAACGATGTCGTTTAAGGTTTGCTTCTGTTCAGAGATCATTTCTATGCTGTGACAAAGAAGAAAAGAGAATAACTTCCACTGTTTTTGGGATTGTGTGGATATTTTCAGGGGAAAAGGCCAAAGTTTGAGTGGAAGAAAGTGTTGTAATAAAGACTTTATATGTTTGTACAACATTTTGGCTTCCCTCTTATTATTGCCTCCTTGCTCCACAAACTGACTGTTTTTTCAGAATGAATAGAAGATGTTCCACAATTAGAGATACGTCTGTTTCACCCTGTTTTTTTTTTTGTTGTTGTTTGTTTGTTTTTACACACAAATATTTTAGATAATCAAAAAAAAAATCTAAATGAGTCAAAGCAATTCATCATTTTTGTGCTGACCTTAGCAACAGCTGAAAATAAGCACTTGTGGCAACTTTCCTCAGAATTGTTCTAATATAGTTATACTACTGTAGGAGGTTTTTATAAATGCCTCAGGATCTCCGATAGGTTTAATGTCAAATGAGAACTTTAAACTTGGGGATCATCTAGATTTTTTTTTTGACAAATGTTTAATGTCCCTTTGTGTTGCTTTGTTTGGCAGTGGGTTTGGTCTTGACTCTCATTTTTGCTCAGTTTATCCATTGTTTAGGCAGGAACTTTGTTCTGGCTTTATTTGACCTTTTATATGATTAGGTATGAAAAACACTTCAGGTAAGGTTTTCCACTGGTCCATGTTCTATTCTACACTTTGTCTCACCACAGTCCCCTGGAGAGCCCAACGTTTTAGAAATGGTTTGTTAACCTGATTGATAGATGTGGAATAAAGCTTTTTTTGTACTTGCAATTTTTTAAATAAGGGGATGATCTGTTGCTTATTGATTTTCTGCCTTACTTCATGTTGTCAAATAGGTTCAATATAAGCTTTTCCTTTATTTCTACAATGAGGCAGTGATCAGACCTGCCTGTGGTTAGTAATATCAAATTAAATGTATCAATACCTAATGAATAAACAGGTAAATTACAAAAGGTGCTGACTGCTCTATCAAAAGGGGTCTGGTTAATAGCTTTTTTGTTAAGAAAATTATATCTTTTGAAAAAGGCTCACAAAAATCTTTGTTTGATCTTAAAATTTGATCATTTCAAATCTTTAAAGCAGCAAGACATCATGCATCTTTGAAGGGGGAAATACTATATTTAAATTCCATACTTGTTTGTGTTCCCCTTAATCTCTGGGCTTCACATAGATATCTCAGAGAAAAGAGACCTGGCGGGAGGACTCAGTTCAAACAATTTGACCTTAAGGTAACATTTAAGCTTGAAAGGGCAAAGTCACGCTGTGACCTTCATCAGAGAAAAATAAATAAAGATGTGGAGATACTCTATCTAATCAAATCCATCGTGCCAGTGTCTCATTTTGAAGAAGCTGGTGCGTGACAGGCCTCACACCTCAGTGATGGACCTCAGTCAAACCGCCTCCATCTTCAGCAGACTGCTATCCCCATGGCAATTTTTACCTAGTGACATTTCTCATCACTGTTGTGGGTGGGAGGAGGAGCCTGCTCTTTTGGGAACCCAGAGACTCACTTTGGACTTCTTCAAATATGCTATTTATATAAAAAAACAAGGATGGCTTTTACTTTTTGATGTTATGATAATATCAGGACTGTTTGTGTGAATTTTCTAATACAAATTTAACAAAATCTAAATTCTTAGAGCCATATTTTGAATATTTCTGTGATATCTTTCCTTGATGGATCAAAAATGACATGTGCCCCAATTCAAATTTGATATTTAACCTAAATTTAACATTAACACTCAAGTACTTTTTTGCATTATATAAATAGTTATGTGCAATATGTTCTACTTTTTTTGAAAGATTTTGATTTTTATTTATTTGGACCGCTGGATCCTTTACACATATAAGTCACTATCAAGCTTAATTAAAATGAGCAAGTGTTGGTTCTCCATCTACAAAACAAATGCCGGCACATTTTTCTGTTGAATTTTCCTATGTTATTCTTTAATTATAAAATGTTTCCATTACTTTGATAGTTTTGAAGAAAATAAATATCAAAGACAAAAAAGTTTGACAAACAGCAGACATACATCAGCTCCAACAAGGTGGCTGTTAGGGAGCTAAAGTATTAGCTGTAAACTAGGCTGCAGTAAACATTCAACTCAACATTACCGTTAATCACAAGGTCACTAGATTGTTATAAATGTCTCTTAAAGACCAGGCTTTCTGATGCTTTTCATTAACTACTCCCTGGAGTCACAAAGCCAAACATGAGGAATATTCAACAGAAAAATGTGACCCGCATTTGTTTTGTAGATGGAGAAGCACTTGCTAATTTATTTAAGCTTAATAGTGACTTGTTTGTGTAAGTGATAGAGCAGTCCAAATGAATGAAAATCAAAATCTTAAAAAAAAAAAAAAAAAAAAAAAATAGAACATATTGCACATAACTATTTATATAATGCAAAAAAGTACTTGAGTGTTAATGGGAAATTTAGGTTATATATCAAATCTTATCAAATTTATAGATCTCAATGATTGAATTTCTTCAAGATTCTAGATCAGAATGTGTTTGCTTATAAGGTGCAGATCAGCTTTTCTTCGGACACTTATTTTGAAGGATTACAATTATAGTATTGCTCTTTAAAA